AAATATTCCCAACATTCAACAGCTGCATTAATTGTGTTCAATGTGATGCAATACTATCAATGTGCAAGTCTTTTGTGTATTTATGTCGTTGGGCTGCTATCTCATGGATATATACCCCACATCTCCTTTTGTTCAGAAGTAGTAAAAACTTTAAAAGTTTAAAAGATAACTTGCAGGAATAAAACTTTGTCTAATATTCAAAATGAAGTTGAGAGTTTTAATGACTTCCTTGTGAAGAGGCAATATCCCACCTTCTGTTGACGGAATAAGCATAGACATATATGATAGGTGGGTCAAAAGGAAGTCTTGCTATATATAGATCGAAAAAAAACCCCGGGGAAATCGTACTGAAAAACGTTAGATTTGGTAATCTGAATGCAAAACAGCAAGATCAGTTTGGTATCTTTTCAAGTGAAAGGTTTAGCTAGCTATAAAACCAGGTTTAATCCACCATTTTCTACACAAGGAAATGCCTGTACCAAGTCAGGAATATGACAGTTGTTTTCAATTCGTTTGATGTGTTTGAGCTTTTAATTTTGCCATTTAATAAAGGACTTTCCGTTTTGAATTTTCCTTGGAGTTCAGTATTTTTGTTATTTTACTATTTTCAGATAAAAGACCAACATCATACATCTTTTTGATATAAAATCTGCATTATATATCAAGAGGTGCATGCTACTGTAAGATGACATACGAATTATTTTTTCTTGTTTAATTTATAACTCCTAGTTGACCGACTGGTCTAGGTTGCAACTCGTCAGAAAAGGTTTAATGTTTCTATGTTAAACAGTCAACATTATACCAAGGAGGTATATACAACCTCCTCTATATAACCCACGTGATCTCATTGTACCTTATGTATCATGTGTTTTCTCAAAAAGAAGTCTACATAAACCAAATTACGACGATACAGGGGATGATAAATATCCGTAGAATTTCATTACGACCAGACCAATTCTTAAGGGACAACCTATCAATTTCTCGGTCAATAAGAGAGTTAGCTTTCATAAATCGTATCCTTACGGGATTCATCTTTCGAACGTGATGCATGTGAGATTCGCTCAAATTACCGCTCTGTTACCGACAGCGATCAAATTGATGACATCACTGGTCAGCTAGAAAAGAAATCACTAAGTCAATAAACTCGACCAGAACACTGTATGTGAATCTAGTGTTCATCAAGGAAATACCATTTAGGTAGTAACACTAGTATAGCATGAATCCGCCGTAACATTTGATATGAATATCGCCATTTGTTAAATAATATCACGGAAAACAGTTAAAAGATGCACATATAAAAACTGCAGAAAACGTAAACAACCGGTCCATTAGTCGAAGCAAGAAATTCAACAATTAAGTTCAGACATCTCAACTCGACTTCTTGATTGGTTAATTGTTGTTTAATGTCAATTATTCCAAGCAATTTGAGAACTCATTTTTGTTTGCCTTCGAATGCATACCAAAAACAACGGAGGAGGGGAAAATGAACGACTTTTATAAGCTTTTCAGTTTTACAAGAATGAACGAACTGACCGTATTGATAGTGCTGGTTATTGTGGGGGAGGGGGTTAAGTCCTGATAATGGACTTCTTTTGCGATATATATTGACATTTTGTTATAATACGATGAGAAAATATTTGCAGGTCTTTACTTCTGCCAGTTTTTATAAGAACCTTCAACCTGCGTGATTATTATAATGCTTTACGAATCTTTTGTTAATCTGGGGTAAAGTGTTCATTCAAAGTCCAGAAACACAAATTATCTATACTGACTGATCCAGTGTATTCAGCATATATAAAAAGGTTTGACTCCCCGTTGATCCTCGTTTGATAAAATAATCCAGGGTGATTATGTCGGGTTTATTTATTTAGAGATCAACAAATTGAACTTCACTCTAGGACTACGAGCCCCATGTTATCTTCTTACTATCTCTTTACTTAATTTAATGTTCAACATAGGATAACGATTCAAGTATTTCTTCATTAAATTCTCTCTCCAGATGAAATTCTGTAAATGGCTTTTCAAATCATGTCTAGATCTACATTCATTACTGCGATACGTGAGGAGGTTAGAAAAAATAGCATCAGCCAAAATTCCTAATTAAATAAATGTACCATGATGCATGTGCATGCGAATGAAGTACTGTATTACATTAAAAGACCGGACCGGATGAGTGGCTGGTTAAAGATTTGTCAAGCTCTCAAATCTAACTAATACAATGTTTGATTCTGCAAAACCAGTGGATGGTTCTTAAAAATATTTTTGCCCTTTTTGAAATAGTTTTCTGAAATGATTACTCTGCAAAATACTGATTAGAACAAACTATATTTTCATTGTCTAAAACAAATGCATGCAACATAAAATCGTAACATGTCGGAACAGGAGCCCGTCTGGTTTTCTTAAGAAATTACAGCTATTTCCACGTGGTCGATTTTTCCCATGCACTGTTCAGTTAATTGCGGAAGAAAGTTAAAATGTGTTTTATAGTCTGGATTAATTAGGAAAGAAAGTAAATCGTGAATATCTATCCATATTTTCTTGTCTAACACGAATAAAACTCGTTATAAAATCAATTTTAGATCGTATGATTGGAAAGAAACAAGCAGGATGAAAACTTCAAACAGAGATTTGGTGCCTGCTCACGGAATTTAAAACAAACAAATACTTCCGAAACATTTTATCGACTTTTGCTAATGTTAATATTGAGACAATGTAAATACAGCTCTCGGTGGTCCCCCTGACAATGCGTATGGTCTAACGCCAAAGAAACCGGTGCTTTCGTCGTTTTTCATACCAATTTGTTACCCGTTCAACGTCCTTGACTTTACTTAAAATAAATTTAACAGTGCATTTTGTTGGAAGTAATTATATAGTCTGTGACCCTGAATTTATAACTGACAGTACTCTTTTCGTAAAATATGTAACAAATTAACTGTTTCTTCTCAGAACACAAAACTCTACAAACCAATTAATCCACTGCATTCTAAAGACAGACACTAGATGTCCATTCTGGCAATGTCTGGCAGCAATTTCTATTACAATACTTCGAATGTATGTCTCATATGAGGTTTGAATTGCAAGTGACCTGGCATGGAATGTGAAAGTGTTTGTGTTGGCAACAAATTCACATGCATGTACATGTATTTGCACTATAAGCAAGCGAGGCAGAACAATAAGATTTTGTTTTCTTCAGTTGGACTCTGTCTTTAACCTCTTAATATTCTTGTATTCGTGACTCAATACTCGTTAATATACAAACACAAACCCCAGCATAGTATTTTTCACCTTAATACAAACCAACAAATTTAAACCAATTTTGAAATTAATACAGAGAAAACTTATTTAAGAAACACAATTTAAAGTAATAAATAGCAATTATGTAAATGTTAACATCTGTTTTCGAGGTCATTTTATAGTTCGTTTGGTTCATTTCAACTGTGTATTGAGTATCTTCAGATTTGGGTGGAATTAAATGAAAATTCATTGTCAAAAAGCTCAGTTTAAAACTTTCTTTTGTTAATCTGTAAGTATGGCGGATTATCCCCAATTTTGACGAACAAGCAAATCTTTTGGAACTTAGTGCATTCAGGTTTTAACTGGTGTTTGATCGTGTTCAATTCCAGATTTGAAATCTGATAGTTAAAAGTACCCAAAAAGGACTGAATAAAGTGGGGTTCGTAAAAAAACACGCTAAATTAAATATGGAAATTGTCAAACTTTGTACACCCGAACATAAACTAGTCAAAATTTACCATGAAAATCATTTTTTAGCAAGAAATAGAAAAAATCGTAGGGGTGGTGTTTAGAGATGACGGATCAAATCATGTCTTTAAAAAGCAAGAAATAGAAACATTGTAGGGGGGGGGGGGGTATTTTCGGAAGACATATGACCGGCAGGAAATTAGTATATAAAGGTTTGTACAAAATAACAGGGAAGGAGTAAATGAGATGCAGCATCATATAGCCCCCTTACCGAATATCATACAAAAATGATAAGGCAGGTAGCAGTTCTCTTTAGTTAAAAAGAACAGCATGTTAATTACATCAGATATAATAGAAAATATTTTACCACTAGAGATCAAGCCTGGGAAGTCAATTACCACCTGAGGAGACATGGAAATAGATTATTTGAAATCCATGTGTAACAGGTCGTTTCGCTATGAAAATTACCAGCAAGAAAAAAATGGCATATAGACCCCTTGCCGTGGGACCCTCGTTAAACAGATAAAAAGGTCTTGCAGTAATGATTTGTATACAGAATATGAATATAAAATTCATAAACTGAGACAATATTTACATATTTCTTTACCAGAGGCGTGATAAATATTAATTTTCATATTTTAACGATATATTTTCTTTATTCAGTCAACGATAACATCGGGAATAATACAAGGAATTTTTTATTGTTCTACAATTATAAATATACATGTATGTATAATGAATGTAATTGATTAATTTGGACTGAAAAGAAAGCCTCTATGAGTAAATGGATAATAGGAGTCCCAAGGGCTCTTTATAGAACTACAAATTGTTTCCAAACGAGAGCAGAATTTGATTACATCGTTTCATGTTTCTCTGTGGATCAGAGAGAACAATTTTATTTGCGTAATCTATCATGTTTAATGGGCTTATTTTCTGTAAATTCTCTTGTCTTACAACTTTTAAATAATTTAGCGATAAACTGACTTAAGAGAATTTAATTTCTTTTTGGCAAAATGTAAAATGAATTCTTAACGTGTATTATTCTTTACTGAACAGGTATTAAAAATGTCATTTTAATAAATCTTCCTTGCACGTTCTTTATACATATTAAAAAACCACAAAAATGAAATAATATCTCATAAGAAAAAACACATTTCACATGGATATTCAAGAAAAGTTAACATTTAAGGGGGCGTGTTCATGTGTTCATTTTCAGCACCATTTCTCCATCGTCACGTGCTTTGTGACATTTTCACCTGCGCTCAGGTATGATATTAATTAAGGTAAAATTAACTCACCTCTTCTTCTGGAGTTGTATTAACTGAGTCCATACTCTGTGATAACTGTATTGTCGTCTCCGTGTTTAAAGAGGAGCTCGGAACCTCTGGGGTTTGCCTCATATTCGATGTTAGCAACATTTGACCAAAGAGAAAGTCACACAAATTAAATAACTATTTTTTAAAGTAAATAAATTAATACTGGTTTAGTAAATATACACACTGTGTCTCCACTCAATATAAATTCCTATGTTTATTTAACGACTCTGAATTGTTGATTAACGTTATAATTTTATCGTGAACCGATAATATTTTGAATAACAAAACGTGTGCTGAAATATCACTTTCGGTGTTGAAATGTGCTGGTGCTGAAAGACTCGGGGGAAATGTCTCGTGAAAAACTTCCGTCACCTACATGTATATTTGCACGTGCTACACTTTTCCCCTTCAAAGTAAAACTACATTCTGCTTTCAAACACTTGTGCTTTCAACATAGTATTTTGTTATTTAAATGCACGCGAATTCACTGTGTACAATAGTCACGTGGTTTCCCACAATGCAATCAACTATTGGAAAATGACCTGTAACCCCGCCCCATTGTTCTTAGTTAGGTTAGCATAAAACTTATTTATTTTCACTAAAAATCGATTATAGATTGAAATCGGATCATTTAGGACTAATGCTTTTATTTTTCCTAACTAAGATTAAATTTAACAATGATAGATCAACGAACTTGAGTCATTTCCAACCGTTTTTATCAGGTTTTATTTATAATTTCTAAATGTCTTTATTCGACATTTGTATAGAAATTCAATGGTTTGGAACGTATTGAAAGAAAATTCATTTCACCCAGTTTTGTATTTAACAAACAATGATCTATTAATAAAAGAGTGTTAAAAACTCTTTTCAATATGTTTTGACTGGGGAGTCTAACGGAAACTTTATATATACATGTCTGTACGCATATTTAATTTAATTATTTCATATTTTAAATATTATGACATCGATGATCGAACTATGACAAACTTGTATGAGTGGTATAAAGCTTTTTAATTGATAGCAATACAAATTTAATGTTTATGGTGCTTTTCGGATAAATATGTTTTAGACAAAATTATTTTTTTGACAACTGCGTTACACTTAGGACTAATATATTAATATAATATATTATCTTAGTGAATAGTCCCAGGTCCCACATACAAATTATATCAGTTACTAGTACTCGATATTGTTGCTATAGAGAAACTTTTTTATTTAATATTTACCAAATAAGTAGACAAAACTTTTTTCTTGTTGAAAGACCAAACTCATGGTAGCAAAGTTGTGTTATTGAGTTACATTCTTAAAGACATTAACTTATATCTATACAATTTTAACTTTCGATCCCGGCATTCAATGCTTAGCGGAGAGATTGTGGTCCTTTCTTAGGCTAGCTGCTTAGAATAAAGATTTCAGGTTAGGCAGCAATCTCATTATGTACGTTATCGGATGTCAGTCAGGAATTTCGCAGTAAAATACGCTAAATAACCCTCAGCATATGGCTTTACTATACTAGTACTATAATTGGGTCATTTTCAACAGAGGTCGTAGGCAGCGGCGAATGTAGGATTATTGAAAGGGGGTGATATTCCATAAAACGAAAGAATTACCGCCGAGCGTGGCGAGTCAAAAACAATTTTGGACGATTTATGTCGAAAAATGATATATTGTCCAATGAAGAGGTGGGGTCGTACGCCCTTAAAGCCCCCTATAAATACGACACTGGTAGGAACATGATATGTAATCTTGGGTGGTTTTTTAAGTACCTATATCGTTGTATACTTGAATCGTGTGCCACAGTATTGAAAGTATTTATTATTAATATTGTCATCATTTTTCAAAAAATAACATAAGGACCTATAAGAGCTATGGTTCCTCAGCTAGTCACCGGGGAAAATGATGACTTTTAGGGTTGTGTAACAAGAGCCTGACTGAATGGCCTCTTGTTACTGAAACTGTGTGATGCACCTGATCACACAATGAACGATTGCTCTGAATAGCTATATGAATTAATCTAAAATCTTAAAGCGATAAAATAAACATTGAGTCGAATAATTTCCAGTAAAATTACCGTTTTTGAGAGTAAGATTAGTACATTTTCATATGCGGCTACGTTTACCATCTATGTGTTTATGGAAAGGTGTACTTAACGCAAAACTCAGTGATGTAAGCTGCAACATACACTGGGTTTGAAAATACCTTTGAAAATTCCCTATCCAATTACAGATCAGCATGTAAAACATATTTTACCAGCTCGTCACCACGACTAGCTATATAGCAAGATTGATATAGTGACTATGATTTATTTGTTGCAATACGTCCAGCGGCAAATATTACATACATAGAAGCTCGACAACATGTTATATCAATGAAATATGAATGAACCATGCTGAAACTGTTTTAAACCGATATGCTGAGCTGGATTTTTAATGTGCAAGTTCACAAGGTAACAGTCCGCAGGAAGACTTGTCACCCTTACCGGACACCTCATTCTGACTCCGATCCAGCCACTTCTGGATCGGAATTTAAATGTAACGTGCTTAGCGAAAAAAACACAAAACTATACAAACGTTCAATTTTATGGTTTGGCCTGCATGACCGGGGTCGAACCACGACCTCTCGCATTATAGGCAAGCATACTGCATGTAACCACTATGCCACCAAGGCGGGTAATTAAAATGAAATAATTTCTGTTGTAGTTGCAAAATGAAAAAGGAAAAAATTAAAGCACTGTAAACTTTAAAACTTCATGCAACGTAAATGAATGAATCTTGTTTTTTTTCATGGACAATTCCTACTTATAAACCTCCATAATTCTAACAAAAAGTTCTGTCATAAAAAATACTTGATTTTATTATTGCACCATAAAAGCTTTTTGCTGGAAGAGTATTCTGCATTTTTAAGGGACTCAAATATGCGCATGACTATTCGTCCGCACTTGTTCCTTTATTCGCATGATGATGATGATGGTTTTTAACATCCAGTGGCGAATATAACATGAATATCAGAGCGACAACATGTTAAAGAGAAAGGCATATGAATCCTACTTTGTATACAAGACCGATACGCTGAGCTGGATTTTCACTATGCTAGTTCATCAAGCGCGTGCATGCTTAGTGCAAGGGGAAGCAGAAACTACAAATTTTCATTTTTGTTTTGTTTGACACTACCGGGGATCAAATCCGAAATCTTCCGCATCCGAGGTGAGCACGCTATAAAACACCAGACCACTGAGGCGTTGGAAAAATTGAAATCATGGTTGGTCGGAAAATGTAATAGTCTGTTATCCATTTCGAAAACAATATTCTTGATAATATTCACAGAAATAGCGACACAATCTCATGGTATGATAAAAAAAACCATAAAAACAAAAACAATACAACAAGTCTGCTTCATACATAAAAGTTAAATGGCAACTTAAAATCAACAGTGATTGTCAGCTGAGACAATTGATTAAACTATCATATTCCAATTGTGAATTTTCCATTCCTTATAGTTACATTCTAGAAGCTCCTGTATTTATCTCACTTTTTTGTTTTGTTCTGGTGATGTTTGAAATTTTGTTTTGTTTTGGTGATGTTTGTTTTGTTTTATTTATTTTTTATTTGTTCAACGAATCTAAGATAGCATAAACGTATTGACTGCACTTTATATGAACAAAAGACATATAGTTTTAAAAAAACTTAAATATAAAATAATTTAGAAGAAAATATTTCTTTTGAGTTTTATGTGACGTTGAGTTGTCCACCGATTGACGTATAGTCTACAACTCCTGTATTCATATATATATATATCACAAATATTTTGATTTGTAATGTATCAAAATGTCTTCCTTGAATAGGAAAATGTATCCGTGATATACTTCTAGCAAAAGGAAGCCGGTTAATCCTCGTAGTTTAGATCAACAGTGTATGGATTATCTGATAAAATAATTTCTTATTGTTACATGACAGTAATAAACCGTACTTTTCTATATTTAGTTTTGTGTTTGATACCAAGAATTTTCAATAATTTTTATAGTCGCATTTTTCTCAGCAACACTTCCGCGCAATATTTCGTTAATCCCAAATTACACATAAATATATATAACAATATAATATGGTTCCCCGTTGTAGGAGAGATACGTATGAATAAATATAAGTTTATGGTCACTATTTCTCACAAATTGCTCTATCCAATTGCTTCTATCAAATTACACCCAATTTTATTTTTGTCAGAAATTGAATTAGTTTCTTTATCTTATTTTGTCGACAGAACATATGTTCCCATTGTGGCCCATAGTAATTACGTTTTTACGTGGCGAAGTAACACCTAACTCCGCGTTAGACGTTCGATTTTAATCTTCTTTATTAATCTAATTAATGGCGATATCGTTACTTTTTCAAGGTACACAGTAAATAATTTATCGAATATAGCCAATTGTCTTACAGTAAAAAAACTGATCAATAAGGAATAGGTTGAATAATTAATGATTTTTGTAAATTAGTGTGAGAAACCTTGATTGTTTTAATGTCTAGCCGCCCAGTATAGCTTTATTGTTACCTGCCCAGATTTTTTTTTATTGAATTTTAATTGGGTTAAGTAAATATAACATAGAAGTGCGATTTTTAACCATATGTGTTGATTATATTCTCGCCCGCTGGATATATATCTGCCTGTTTTATCAAACAAAAAATATATTTATCTCAATTAATTCATTTATTATTCAATTTTTGTAGAAATACCCTGGGGAAAAAAGTTGAGAAATTCTGCAAATATAGCTGGCAAGTGAAATGTAAAATGAGAACCTGACAAATAATATATTGCAATGCAATAGTCGAAATATCTTTCTAGATTCCAGTCTGAACAAAATAAAACCATTTTTCTTAAAAATGTCTTCACATTTTGTAGACCTTTAAACTCAGAATGCATTTTTACTCGGTTTTCTTATGTAAAGAATCTGTCTGTAGATATATAGGTATTGATAACAGATATTGAACCCACTGAATAAGTTAAATTTGTAAAAAACAATACCAAAAATTAAAAAAAAGAAGCTATACTGATTTTAAATAATTGTTTAAGAAAATAATCAAGATATATCTATGAAAATTCACACGTTGCCAATTGAAAAAGGCAGATATAAAAAAAATGTGATTAAAGAAAAACGAATTTTTCACTATACGTTAGATGTAGAAATGCCATTGAAGGTGAATATCATTTCTGTCTGTCCTGCGGTTTATGTTGATTGTATATATGTGGGATTGTTTTGCATTAATACAGCTATACACTGTCGCAGGTTAGGGGATGGTTGGGCGTCTGCTCACATGTTTAACCCCGACATATTATGTATGTGCCTGTCCCTAGTCATGAGCCTGTAGTTCAGTGATTGTCGTTCGTTGCTGTATATCATAATTGTTTATCGTTCATTATATTGTACATAAATCAGGCCGTTAGTTTTCTCGTTTGAATTGTTTAACATATGTCATTTCGGGGCCTTTTATAGCGGACTATGCGGTATGGGTTTTACCCAT